TAGCACACATACACAATTTTCTTATTGATTGTATCTGGTTGTTTAAATATAAATGAATATAAGTAATCCCTGAATAAAATGTATGAAAATATTATAAATAGATAGAAGTACTACCTGACTGAGAGGTAGTCTAACATTCCTGAGTTCTTGTATGTATTGAGGTAGGTATAGAGCTTCAGTAAGGATTCTAAAGAATTCAAGAAGATATTTGCTTAGTAGGTGTTTTAGCTGTGTTAAGTAGGAGAAGGTCATGTTTCCACTTACATGTCATTAACATTCTCTCAGAATCACCTGATGTATGTATTCAATCTCTAGTCTCTCCTACAATCAGTCAAATATAGATAGCTTGTCTGTTATTCATCTTATCATTTCTGAAGACTAGTTGGTACATGTTTGATCTACAAACAAAAATAAAATAAAGAAATAAAGCTCTCCAAACTTCTTTTAGTCTTATCGTTCTTTTGTAAGTTCTTCAGAAGTCTTGAGTTTGCCTTAAACATATAAAGGCTCATTGATTAATGTACTAATTCTCCTTTGAGAGTGAATTCAGAAACTAAGAATGTACTGTGTGCCAGGGACTTCTGTAATTATAAGCATAACTCCAAGTGTGAAATCAACAAACCATAGGCATGATCCTTGAAAGTTTCATCTTCTGAGTGCATATTTAAAACAAATCCCATTACACTTTGCTCACATTGGAGAGATCAACAGTTATAGATGAATTTTTATCATTTTGAGGATAATTAGTGTACACACTGGATCCAGAAGAGTTGTATTTTCCATTTGTACTAGCATGCTAAGGTCTGGTGTGAACTCAAATAGTGATAGCTGCTCATGTATCTACTTTGGAAGCTAATATTCTTGGCAAAGATTCCTATGCTCAGCAGTAAAATTTGTGAATGACCTGATAACCCCACAAGATCTAGATGTGGCAAAGAAGTAGAGTAATGTCTACACATTTGGACTCCAGTGTGAGCTGGATGGAATTATGGAAGTAGAGATGGATAGAAAATTTTTTATTTTACAGTGCAAGAGTTTTTGGCATTTTTTTCTGTTTTAAGGTCTAAAATATAAGGAGCTGAAACATATGATGTTTATTATTCAATTTTCAATGGATGTATTGTGAGTTGATTACAAACTCAATATATGTTGAATAGAGAGTTACAAATCTTATTAATTTGTATAGTTTGTTTTAATGTAGTAAATAAGATTCATGAAACTCAAATGGCTATAAGTATCAGATTCTTCACTCATCATGGATGTAGAAAAGTGACATTCTCTATTCATTGGAGAATGTTTCCACAGTTCCTGGCACTGTGTGTTTCCAAAGAAGTATTTTTCTGCTTGTAATGAAATGCAAAAACAAATTTTTAAGGCTCACATGATATAATGAAAAATATATTTGAATGACCCAAAATATACTCATTCCATTTAACCAAAGTGCATATGCATTTTAATATTATTTGTTTTAATTTTTCAATGAGTCTCATAGAGCCAACCAATTTGAACTATTCTAGGATGCATTCACTTATGAATGCTTTTACAATTCCAAATGGCTCATAATAGCATATTTGGAACTATGAGAGTTGATACTCTAAATGGATGTTAAGACTCATAATACAAATGAAAAGCTGTTATTGCACAAAACTCAAGTCATTTCCTAGAGTATAATACCTCTGCAATTTAAAAGACTTACTCAAAATAGGAAGAGAAATTAGACAATATGGTGACAATTCCTGTGCAAACTTAGATTGCTGAAATCATTTTGGAATTAACCTTCTGGAAAAGATCAGCCACCTATACACACAAACAGTTGTTGTGTGACAATAAATAAATGTTTGACTAAGGAATAAAAATACCAGATTACCAATAACCAGAGAAAATAGTTTTCCAGTAACAAAATGAACCACCTCAAATATATTTTTACAGATTTATTTTAATTTTATTAAGGGGATATATAAGCTTCTTCTATGAACTTAAGGAAGGCAGTGTCACCGTTAATATGAACTATATGGTGTAACAGTAATATGAAACAAATTGGTATGAACTGTGGTATGTTTTTTGGAACATCATATATTTTGTTGGCTTTGTTCTACACAGCGAATATCTCATTTGACAATATGAATATTTTGGAGACTAGTTTACTTAATTTTCCTTACTGTGTACTCTTTTTTAATTTTGTTGGAATATATTTTCCTACTAATTTATAAGTAATTGAGACCTTTGTGTGCACTCATTCTCTCAAACTGGGTGCATTTCATTTTCTCTACACCACTCCTGACATCTGGCAATGTCTAGAGACACTGATGATTGTAAACTGAATTGATGAACTGCAGCTTGGATTAAGTGTGTAGAAATGAGAAACTTTGCTGAGTAGCCTGTGATATACTCACACAGTTCTCTGCAGTACAGAAATATCTAGACTAAGCCAAGTATGGCAGCCACACTTATAATTCCAACACTCAGGAGGCAGAGGCAGGTAAATCTCTGGAGTCTGTGGCCAGCCTGCTCTATGATGAGAGCCCATTTTCATTTTTGTTAAGCAAAAGAGAATACCTAGAATAATGCATGCCAAATAGTGCCAATGTTGAGTAGGCCTGTCCTAAATTAAATAATAATAACAAACCCCACACATATTATTGTTTTTTATTTGGTTAGTAAATACTTGTAGAATAGTTCTTGGTTAGAAGAAATTTTGAAAATAGGTTTCTGTTTCTCTTGGATATTGTAGAATTTCCAAAAGATTGTCAACTTAAAATTTGATCAATAAATATGTCGGACACAGAGGAGTGAGAGAGTGGGGGAGAGAAAGAGAGAGAGAGAGAGAGAGAGAGAGAGAGAGAGAGAGAGAGAGAGAGAGAGAGAGTTTAGGCGTCTGTACAAACTAGTGAGTATTTATCTAGTGAAAGTTTATTCAACATCCAATCTTTTTTTTCTTTTTTTATTTACTTTTTAAATTTTAAATAGCTTGTTTTACATGTCAATCCCAGTTCCCTCTCCCTTCCCTCCTCCCGCAACCCCCCCATCCATCCCCTGCATCCTCCTACCCTACTGCCAATTCCTTCCGCATAGGGGATATCTAGAGTCTATCATTTCATTCAGGTTAGGTTCCAGGCACTTCCCTAAGAGTCCAGGAAGAGAGAGCAACCCTCTTTGTGTTATGGACACACGATGTCTGTTAGTATTCGAGGGATAAACACTGATCTGCTGCTCAGGACCCCATAGGTAGCCCAGGCCTCCTCATTGACTCTCACATTCAGGGGGTCTGGATCGGTCCCATGCTGGCCTCCCAGCTGTCTGTCTGGGGTCCAAGAGCTCTCCCCTGTTCGGATCAGCTGTCTCTGCTGGTTTTGCCAGCCCATTCTTTGCCAATTTGCTCTTCGCTCCTCTCTCTGTGTCGCTGGGTTCCTTGGGTTCTGTTCAGTATTTAACTGTGGGTGTTTGCCTCTGCTTCCATCAGTCACTGGATGAAGGCTCCAGGATGGTTATAGACATCAAGTTCACTATCAGGAATAGGCATTTGAGGTGGTCTCTACACTATTGCCTGGCTTGCCAATTGGTGTCGTCCATTTAGATCACTAGAGGTCACAATGGTGCCTGATCTGTCTTCTAACCTATGATTCCCTCTTCCCCCCTATACTACCCCCCAGTCGACCTTCCTGTTCCTCCACGTCCTACTCTCTCTTCCACTTCTCCCCCTCTCTATTTCCCAGGTCCCCCTCCCCCCCACCCCTCGCCGTGTTCCCCATCTGTTCAGAGGATCTTGCCTCATTTCTCTTCTCTTGGGTACTATGTATAGCTTTTAGGTTCTTTCCTGTTTCCCAGACTCTCTGTCAGTGGAAGTGCAGACTGGCACTCTCCTGATCCATGTTTAAAATCCATATATGAGTGAGTACATACCATGTTTGTCTTTTTGTGACTGGCTTACCTCACTCAGGATGGTTTCTTCCAGTGCTATCCATTTATCTGCGAATTTCAAGATTCCATTGTTTTTTTTTCTGCTGAGTAATACTCCATTGTGTAAATGTACCACATTTTCTCTATCCACTCTTCAGTTGAGGGGCATCTAGGTTGCTTCCAGGTTCTGGCTATTACAAATAATGCTGCTATGAACATAGTGGAGCAGATGCCCTTGTTGTATGAATTTGCCTCCTTTGGATATATGCCTAAGAGTGGAATTGCTGGGTCTTGTGGTAGATTGATTCCCATTTTCCTGAGGAATCTCCATAGTGCTTTCCAAAGTGGCTGTACGATCAACATCCAATATTAACAAGTCAAAGTAAAATAAAAACTCATGAAGTTGAGGAATTTGTATTCTACTAAAAGGAAACTGAAAGTTTAACACATAAACGGAATTTCAAGAGTGAAAAGTCTGGAGAAGGAGTAAAGAATGAACTAGAATGTGGATTTCCACGTGTGATGCAGAAACTGGAGTTTTATTTTAGACACAATAGCACTAGAACTAGGGTAGGGAGAATAGCCTAGAGTTCTGGGCACAATTAAGGTTCAACCCTCTGAGAGGAAAAGCTTAACTCTCAAAAGTTGCAGCATAGAGCAAATGGGCAGACAGTAAATTACCAATAAAATCTACTTAAGTGAACTTGGTGATATCCAAAAGTGGGATTAGGAGATAAAAGAGAAAGAACAGGTATACAGGGTGTCATCGTTGAAAGATGTTCCTCTGTAATTCATGTGTTGAAATAGCAGCCAATGTGATGAGATTTGAGATAAGGCCTTTGTAAAGTGATATGATTATGAGAGCTTCTTCTTGTGGATGGTATCAGAGCTGTTGTAAAGGAAGTTTCACACAAAATGTGGCTGTTTTCTCATCTGTCCTTTTCCACGGGAAGACACAGATTGTTCTATCATCTGGAGAGAATGTAACAACATGGTGCCGTCTTGGCATTGTTCTTGGAATCTTCTGTTGTAATCCTTCTAGAGTAAGTACTCTGACACCAATGAGAGTAGGAGAGAAGAGATGTCACCCGAGGACAGTTCCTGAAAGGCTTTAATATTGCTACTAGTTTGCATTCTCATTTTATACTTTAAAACCACAAGGTGGGGTGGGCAAGCTAGCAAGATTTTACATAAGCAGGTGGCAGTCAGCAGGTTGTTAAGGGCAATGATCAACTGTTTCAGCTGTTTCTCCAAGTCATTCTGTTCCAGGTAGCAAGTGAAGCCATGCTTGACAAACAGGATAGTACAACAGTGCTTTAAGTAAATCACCAAAAAAATCAATAAATCAGTATCTCATAACTGGTCTTTTCTACCTTATTCTACTTCATCATTAGAGAGCAGAACTTAACAAATGTTGAAACTGTTAAGTCATTGATTTAGGTCTGTACAGTAGTCACAGCCACTCATCTCTGTGTTAGGCAGTTGAGCATGCATTTATTTTCTTAGCAGCTTGATTAGGGGCTGCAAGACCTCAGGTTGAGAAAATGGACCTGGCTATCAAATATTGGGAATCTACACTCTGACATCTAACTGACACTCTGGAAACAGAAACAAAGCTAAAACAGTCACAATTCCGTGGAAACTAGACATAGTGAGAAGAAAACAAAAGATCATTGAGAAAATGCTCACAGATGAGTAAAAATGAAAATATTACATACTAAAAATGTAGACACAGTAGAAATTTTCATAAATAGGAATACATTCAAAGAACAAGAAAGTTCTCACATGAAAACTTTCAAATTACACCAAAGCTAATACAAGGCAGAAAATAATAGTTTAGAGCAGAGAAGAAAGAAATAAAGTTTAGAAAAAAATAAAATCAATCGAAACAAAATAGCAATGAAATATAGACTTTTAACTAGATGGGCTAAGAAAAAAGAGAGAATACTAAAATTCTGAAGTTGGTAATGAAGCTTCAAACATCAATTCTAAATGAAAAAAGTAACTAAGAGAGGAAAATGAAAATTTGCATAGTTGTACCTCAAAATATTTTATAACCCATGAAAAATGGACAAATGTCTAGAAGCAGTCTACTGAGACCAAATGACAAAGGAAAATCTAAATAGACCTAGAATATTTAATCACTTGTCAAAATAACTTATTTAAGGGGCAAAATAAAAATACATTTTAGAAAAGTCTGTACTTTGATAACTACAATGGTAAGTTTTACCAACATTTGTAGAAGCAATACAAATCATTCTCAAACGTCCCTTCAAAATTAAAAAGGAAAGTACCATTTGTACTACCAACATTTGTAGAAGCAATAAAAATTATTTGCAAATTTCCTTCAGTATTACAAAGGAAAATACCATTTGCAGTTAATTCTGTAAAACCAGTATTTCCCTGAAACCATGTGGAAGACATAATAAAAAGCCTATGTACGTATAACCAAGGGGTGTCTGGCATGTGTACTTTCCTTTTGCCACAGCTTGAAAAATGCCTGTTATCCTCTCGCTATTGCATTGAACCTCTGTCTTGAAATTGCCTGCTGCATTCTCTGCTCTGCATCTCACAAAAGCCCAATCAAGGTGCTGGAGAATCTGCCCTCCGTTTAGATGGCTATTGGGAAGAATTGGTATCCAAAACTTAGTAATTATGCTCCACGTTCTGAGTTTCTGTTGCTTCAACATTGAATATCTTGCTGGCCCAGGACTAATCAATTCCTATAGACAGTAAATGGAGTGCATTGAATGCACCAGATCAACAGATCCAGAGGCAACACACCAGCAATTATTTCATTGGATTCTTACATTCTTGACCAAACTTTATGGGACCTTATAACAGGAGGGACAAATATCAGACAATCAAGGACAATCCTTATCCTCAGAATCCCTGAAAGTATTGAAACTAGTCAACTTTAAATCTACTTACCCCGTCTCACAGGTATGGACACCACAACAAAGGATCATATCCCCTAAGCCAAAAATTTTTAAAAAAGGAATAAAAAATGAAAAGAAAGCCAAGTATCAATATTCCTTATTGACAAGGATGTAAGAATTTACAACAAAATACAAATAAAATTAATTCAACAATGTACTGAATTCACATTCAGAGCATCACATATCACATTAACATCATCACTTCTATGATGGTCAAACTCAGTTCTTGATTTGACTACATCTGGAACCCACTGGAACACGGAGCAGCTGGGCTCACATGTGAGGGGTTTCTTGACTAGATCATTTGAGGTGGCGAGACCTACCCTAACACTGGGCCACATCTTCTTGTAGCAGACCATGAAGACCATGGGAGAAGGAAGCTTTTGTTTTTTGCCTGCCTTCCCTCACTCTCACTGGAAAGCTCATTTATTCAGTTACTATTATTCTGCTTCTGAGACTTTCCCTTGCTGATCTCTGAACAAACTTCCTCGGGATTCCAACACAGACTGAGGACCAGTAGTTTTTAGGAATCCTTTGGGACCTTACCATCAAATTTGAACTGTTGGGTCGTCCAGTTCAGTGGACTGAACAGCTACCACTGATCTTTTCTGTTGGGAGACAGCATTGTTAGATTGCTCAGACCCCAGAATCTATAAGCCATTCTAGTAAATCCCCTTTAATAATGGTGTGTGTGTATTTATTAAATCAATTCTCTTTCTTTAGAAGGCCCAGACTAATATGCCACCCATGTCCCTTTATAAATGTGATCATGTGAATTCTATTTTCATTTCCGTTGCTGTGACAAATACACTGATCAAAAGCAACGTTGGGGAGAAAGGGTTTATTTGGCTTACAGTTACAAGTTACAGTCCATCACTGAGGGAAACCAAGGCAGGAACTTCTACAAGCATTACCTCTAAGTATGGAACTCACTTCATAGTCAAAGAAATGTAGCAGGATCCACAGAGGATTGGCTGGCAGACAGGCTTATGTTTAGCTAGTTGTCTTACACAGCTAATGAATGGTCTGTTAACGTTGGCATGGGTCCTCCTACATCAATTAACAATCTAGTCATACACATTAACACACATGTAGCCATACGCAGAGGTCAATCTGATCTAGAAATTTCTAAATTGAGATTGTCTTCATGAAAATCCTTAGGTTGTATCTAGTAAACAGTTAAAACTAACCAGGACAGTTAAAAAAATCTTATTATCTAACAAGTGTCAATCTATTTGAAAATAATGTGAGAATTACCAAAATGTTCAAAATGAATTCAACTTCATGCTTTCTTTTATTTTTATTTCTGAAACAGAGTTGCAGTTTGTAGCCCTGGCTGGCCTAAAAAAATCTCTGTGTAGACTAGGCTCATCTCAAAATCACAGAGTATTCACTGTCTCTATCTCTTAGAGTGCTGGAATTAAAGGCATGCACTATTATGCCTTGCTAAAACAATTTTAAAAGTGTGTGACTTGATGATTTGTAAGCTCAGGGGCAAGAAAAGGGAGAATGTAGCTAAGCTTAGTAATGATGAACACCAGTCAAGCATTCATACAACAATCACATCTACAAATTGTATTTTTATATTTTTATTAATTCTTTGAGAATTTCATACATTTTAGTTTTATTGTATTACCCTTTCTCCATCTCCTGCTAGATACACTCTCCATTCCCATAACCACCCTATTTAACGACTTTGAGCTTTTTTTTCTTAAGTCCATTGAGTCTAGTTGTGCTACCTATGAACTTTTGGTACGTGCCTATTGGATCAGTGCCTCTAAACACCTAAGTGTATGGTCAAGCTATCAGTGGTTACTCCATGAAAAAAAATAACTACTTCTCCTGCTAGCTCTCAATTACCAATATTCCTCAGCAAGGGATGGGACTTTCTGCCTATCTCCCCCTTCTATATTCGGATTTTGTCTGGCTTGACCTAATTCCCTTATTTTGTTCATTTCATTGAATATCAACATGTTATGCATGTATTTTATCCTTGAAATGAACCTATCTTAAGGTTAAAAAGTATCTCTGTTATCACAATGTTATATTAAGATATTAGTGAACCACCAGCCTGGTCTACAAGAGCTAGTTCCAGGACAGCCTCTAAAGTCACAGAGAAACTCTGTTTCGAAAAAAACAAAACAAAAAAAGATATTAGTGAACCATTGTATAATATGCATATCAATAATTAAGTGACAGTGTTTTCATGAATGATGCAGGAATAAATGAGACTTTATAATTCATTCCTCACCAAAATTCCAATATAGGGAAGACATTTGATACTAGGGGACAATTTCAAATATCTACCACAAACTTTATACAATATCTTTAGGAACGGTACAAACTGAGCAAAATTGAAATTAAATTCTACAGTTTTCAGTGAATTATTATTCTAAGGGCAGTCATTCAGTGGTTTACGAATTTACTGAAGCAGTTTGCAAAATCTTCAGTAATGTTTCCCATTTTAGGATGGTGTCAAGGAGCAAGTTAAAGAATGGCTAAAGCAGTCTTTCATTAGACTTGCAGCTTGTGGGATTTAGTGTTTAATGTTTATGTCCTAGAAAGAAAACTTTCCCATTCAGGGGAAAGTAACTTTTTGTTTGCAATAGAAGATGACTGGATAAGCAGTTTCTAATGTCAGTTAACTGTTGGGAATGTGATATATACCTTATAAAGGAGGTCTGGCCTACAGATGGAGATGCCTTCTGTTTATTTCCACTTGACTGCTGTCATGAAGAAATCTAGGCCAGTTCTGCTAGGTCAGTCATGTTTTAAGATAAATTAAAATGCTACATTTTCAGTGAAATCTGTTGATTCTTAACTATTTGAATTTAAATCTATCTAAATTGTAAAAGAAAATATTTGGAGAATGACATATGGTAGACTCAAATAAAGCATGAGGGTGATCATCTAAGTACTGTAGCAGAATGAGAAGGAACAGAAGACCCCAATTTAGTCTCAGTGAATGCTTCCATGTTTCTCAAAACATATCAGGATAAGCTAAATTTTACTGACAATTGACAAGATAAATGCCAACACTATGAAAACAGAGTAATGCTATTTGATTTACTATAATTATGAAATTCATAATAAGACACTGCAAATATTCTTCCTCCCATAAATTAATAAAAATATCAGTATTTCTGACTCTTATGGGAAATATATGAAAATAGGGAAACTTACATTTCCTATGAAGAATGTAAGTTTGTGTTTCCATTTAGAATGAAAACTTGGTATTCTATCAACAGTTATTAAAACTATGTACACCTAATAGTTTTTGTAACAAATTATATTAAGACATTAGATAAATGGAATTAAATAAGGACTTTATTTATAAAGTTGAATACCATAATCCCGAATAACAAAATAGTTCCCTTTTTTTATTCATTCATGCATTCATTTAGTTAGGGAATAGCATGTGTAGTTATCATTAGTAAGCCAGATGCCTCTGCTGTCCTGATGGTCATGTTGTGAAACTGGAGAAAACAATGAAAGTATGACTGCTATATTCAATATTATATCATTATATCATTCAAAGTACATTTAGCACTCAGTGAAAACATAATTTCCATTAAAAAACCACTGAGTAACCTTACCAACAACCTTTATATTAAAATTGTGTGTGTACAAATGTGTACTTAGCACATGAAAACAAAGATTTCTCAAGACTTAAATATGATTACCTCAGTTTTACATAAACAGCACTTTGGGGTAGCACAGATATTCAAAATAAATAATTGGTGCTGTATCATTTTTTCTTTGTCTTGAGTTTTGATCTCAATTTTAGATCTTTACTGGATTCAATGTATGGCATCACTGGAATGATTTGGAGAACATCTCTCTAGGCTGTCCTTAGGTTGTCATCCTTTGTCTTCAGTATCACTATCTAACTGGTTATTCAGTCAATTATTTTGATATTTTGGACTCCTGAGAAGCGTTAGCTTTGGGTAGTAAAGTTTGTATTATTGATCAACTCAAACGAACAGCCCTTTCTGATATTGCAAGTCTGCTGTCTCTAAAATGAACCAGTTGGTTTGATTTTTCTTTAATAATCTTGCCCTTAAAATCACTTGAATGAGTGGGGTGTCTTCCACTTTAATTTTTGAGACCAGGTCTTTTGCTGAATATGGTGTCATTGATTTGGCTCCTGCTCCTTACCAGCTACACCTAGCAATTTTGTGAATGCTGAGCATCAGAGTCAAGTTCCCAAGCTTGGCAGACAGGCATTTGCCCACTTAACCAGCTCTCCAGTTCTCTGTTGGCTCATTAAGTGGTTTGATTGCCCACTCATTCATCCAAATTCTTGCCTCTTATATAATTCTTATGTAATTTAGAAATGTTAGAATTAAATAACTTCTAATTAATTGATATTTATCGAGCACTTACTACATCTACGAAGTTGCAATAATGAGGGAAGTACAGAAATGAAAGAATATTCATCAATCTGCAATTTCCCACTATTAATTGTACATGTGTCATTGAGAAAAAGAATACAGCTTCCCTCATAAAAGGAATAAGAGATAGCTTATCCTGGAGCCATTCTGAGTGACCATGGCCTGGAAATACAGACTTAGGTCACCCCAAATTCCATTTTCCTACATGGAAGAAGTCTCATGAAGTTTTTATAGTTTTTGAGAACAAAGAAAGTAAAAGATCCAGGCAAGTTTAAAATATATTGGCAGGTATACCAGAGAGGCAAGTACATAGAGGTGGGGTAAGCTTTTCTATAGCTCCAAGATGCTGTCTGAGTCTTTGCTTTGGTGTAAGCAAGTAAGTTGATAAGTTAATAGATTCCAAAAGGTTTTTAATCTATTAGGCATGGGATGTTTTGACATAGAAATGAGCAAAGAACAGCAGTTCTAGATAACTACACCTAGCCCAAGATAAGCTAACCAACCTTTGGATGTACAGCATTCCAATCTCTCCATGGTGCTGAAATTCTAATAGATAAAAGGTCTTTGCAGACACAGCCTCTTTCCAGGAGGTTTTGTTCAGAAATGCAAACAAAACTACTTATCAAATGGTATAGGAACGATGCTTCCCACAGGAAAGACAGGTGATAATTTTCCTTTTCATGGTGAAGAGTAAAGCATGCAGTTTAAATTGCTAATTTTTTGTGTTGCTGGGTTTGCTTGAATTAGAAAGGAAATATAAACAATTCCACGTGTTACATGGAAAATTAGTAAACTATAAGTCAGTCTTAATTGCATTAGCAAAACTACGAAAGGACCAGCAAAACAAAACAAAACTGTTTAGGAAAGCATGCCCTGACATTTTCAATTCTAGAAAAAATTGGCCCAATGAGTGAAACCAAATTTTGGATCATTGATTCAAAGGGCCATTGAGTGATTTTTTCTCATCCTAAGAAAATTCTAGATACTTTATACATACATACTACACAGCAGATTTTTAATCTATGATGACTGTGCTCAATTCCGTCTATGGAAGTAAATTAAGAGACAAAGCAATGAGAAATAGAATTGCATTTCTGTGACCTCCAAAATACTTTACTTGTTTTGTAGTTTCCTATTTATAATATAAATTTGGTAGTATTACAAATAGATTTCAAAAATATAGTATAAGAAATTAATTGATAGATACAAGCATATTATTATTATCACTATTATTTTGGGTCAAAATACCTTAGATAATGGCAGGAAAAATATTAGTATTTACTCTTACCATTTCACTGTATCCTGAAGCTCTGGAAAATCTGGGATCCAAGACTGGGAAATCTGAAGAGGAAAGAGGTTCAGAGAGAGTCTTAAGTACCAGGGCCAGGGTGGGAGTCATCGAAACTGGAAGCACACCAATGCTATGAAAGCCTCTATGGTCCCTGGTGCTCTGCTCACAGCCGAGGGCAGCAGCCAGACCTAATAGCATACCCAGTACATTCCCTAAACTCCTACATTTGGGGAACAGCCCCAAGGTAGGGAGAGATAATAGGACTGACTCCCTTAAGTTCAGTCTAATATTTTATCCAGTATAGTCTCTAAGCAGTTAAGCTCATAGACTTCTCTCTCTATGCTCTGATGCCCCTACCTTTAAAGTCTATAACATAAAAGAATGCCCTTTTTCCTAGTTGTTCCAAACCTATCCCAGGTACCTTCCTACTAAACCTGGAAGAATTTTCATTGTTTAATGGCTCCACAGTATTGCATCCACAGGGGAAGGATCACAAAAGCTTATAACTCCAGCTCAAGGGGATCTCATTATTCTGTTCTGGCTTCCACAGTGGTACCCCCCAACACACACAGGGCAATACACACACACACACACACACACACACACACACACACACACACACACTGTAATGTAAATGAAATGTAAGTGATAAATTAAAAGGAAAACCAAAACACCATGCAACTATAAGCCCAAATGGACATTCATGATTCACATTTATAAGAACAGAGTAACACTCGCTTATATGATATCATCCAGGTCCCAGCAATCCTTGTGCTTTAGAAACACACTCCAGTACTTAATCAGTACTTCATTAACTGCTGTGACCAACAGTAGTCTTCAAAAATAGTCACTTCATATTTCCAAAATCACCCATAGGGCAGGCTAGAGGAATGGCTCAGCAGTTAAAAGTGCTTATTGCTCCAGCAGGGGATCAGGGTTCACTTCCCAGTATCCATACCCGGTGTCTGGTCACTGCTTGTTAATCTAGTTCCAGGGATCCTTTTCTTGAACAGGGTCCCTCTGTGCAGCCCTGGCTGACCTGAAGTTTGCTAGGCAGACCAGGGTGGCCTCAAAAAAGGCACAAAGATCCTCTGATCTCTGCTTTTCAAGTTCTGGGATTAAAGGTATGCATGTCCATCCCAACTCCATAGTATTTCTTTATTCCCGTGCTTTAGCTTATTTTTTATTGAAATTATTAATTTCTTCTAACAGAGGTTATAATAATAATTTCTTTAAAAAGAGCTTTGCACTATTCAGAAGTGAAATATTTAGTGTTATTACTTGTGGTATACAGATACTCACAATAGACAATATTAAGAATGCAGAGATACAATCAGGTATTATCCAGTTAAAACAAAATTAGTAAAAATCAACGTGCAGGTGATGATAGTAATTACTTCTTGATAAAATCCTCAATATGGTTAGGGCACTTGACTAACCCTCTTGGATCAAATTATTTCCTGGATTAAGATCAGAGCCCACATTATATCTGGGAATGTAATCAAACATGTTCCAAGAGAAACCTATGACCTGATTTTTCACACTTTACTAGACAATTGTGCTGTGCTTTCTCAGTGAATTCAGTTTTGTTTTGTTTTAGAAAATATCTATCCATACCTCTTGCTGCCAAATAAAATCACTTCCTCCTTCTAGGAGGAAATATATTTCTGTCCCTTGGATTGCACATTAAGAGATAATCCCAGAGGTTTATATTCCTGACTCTTCGTTGTGGATACCTGAAATACCAACACTCGTGATTCTCAAGATATCAGTGAAGAATTTTAGCTCCAAACCAACACAACTTTCTCCTTGCTGATGCTCAGAGAGGCAGAGGAGAATATTACCATCTTCAGTCCTGTGCTTTCAGAACCTGGGATTCAGCTTCTGAGAGAAGGGCAAAGTGCTGCCTTGTGTGGGAATCAAGGTTGTGAAGATAAATGCTGTTTTCATGAGGGACAGCTGTCTTACAAGGCAGGGGTGTAGGAGGAAGCCTGTATGCCGCCATTAACCATGTGACTTACTAGAGGCGCATACAGATGAGGTAATAAAAGAGCGGTTTACCACACCGCTAATCACACCCACTTTAAGCATGACTAAAGATGTATACGGATGGACGTAAAGACGTATACGTAAGTAGGTGGTGAACTACGTCACTAGCCAGGCCCACTTTTGGGCATGGCTAGGGGGCGTTACGGGGGGGGGGGGGGGGAGGCATAAAAGACTGCACAAAGGAAGTCTTGGTCTCTTTTCCCGGATTTCGGCTTCCAGTTCTGCAGCGGGAAACTACTGGGCTCATCTGGGTTACTTTTTTGGTATCTTGTGAGTAATTTCTACAATAAATACTTAGTTTTACTTTCAGTAAGTGTGCCGTTTATCGTTACAGCGTCATTTGGAGCATCACAGGGGTGCTAATGTTTAGAGTCAAAAGTCCAATGCAGGAATACAGCACTTCTGTTGTAGTTTTTATGTACTTTTAAGCCTACTTAACAACTCATTTACAAATGAGTATTTATGTGACATAAAAGCAGGAGCATCATGAGTTCAAGGGTAGACTCCATCTCAATAAACAAACAATGTTTAAATTGGACTGCATGGTGAATTTCAGCCAAGGGTACATTTGCTTCCTCAGTGATCAGCTCACTGATCCACTTTCATTTAATCATTGCTTGAAAACTTATTTCAGATACCGTTCATTAGTTACTCAGACACATCTCATCACAAGTGAAATTGAGAGGGCTGGGTGGGGTGGGGAGCAGACCAGACAGGCTCCCCTAATAGCCCTGACAGAGACTAGGCCTGAGTCTATGTTTACTAGAATGGGACAGCAAAACAAGCAGTTCTCAGGAAGCCACAACTCACGGGCAACCAATCAGCAGGCACCCCATAGCCCCTTTGCTGGCTCAGCAGGCATCCCCAGCCTTCAACAGCAGCACTGAATGGACTGTTGTATGATGATAAAAATGTAAGGTTAAATTTCTGATATCATGTGTGTATGTGATTAAACTCTGGTGTAGAATAGACTCCATATGGTGATAAAAACTTAAGGTTATAAAGGTCTTTTCAGATTAACAAAAGCTGACTCAGATTTACACCTAGACATTTTTGTCTTTACTAAGTCTTCAACACTAAGTTTCTTGAGAATTTAGATAAATAAAAACATATGTTTGATAAGTAAGATATATATTCTGTATTCAAGTTTCGGGTCCCTTTACCAGGGTTGGGCATTTGGGCAGGTGCCCCTCATGGCTTGTCAGGGGCAGTGTGGCCTCTGGACTCTCTTGATCCCCACTCATGAGCCACACCCCAATTCACAACCCCCTTTCCTCCTTTCCCACTGGGCCATGGGGGATCTTTCTCATGTCACTATTCCTTACATTCTTGGGAGACAGACTTAGGTTGGAACAAACATTCCATTTTCACCCACAAAATGGCTATTTTAGTTTCTTTACTGAGTTCATTATCTACGATTAAAAAGTATTTTATTACTAGAAGAGCTTCAATTCAAAATCATTATTTTTAAGGCTAAACCTGACAAAAATAGAATGTAAAGTCCTAGTCTTATAAAAGCTGCTAATTTATTGTAGGCTATTAAGGAACACAAGTTAATGGCTAGTGATAGTTGATCAAGTTCTTTAATTGTAGTCATGCTAATGTACTAATATACTATTTACAGGTATAAGCCTTATTTAGTCCTCTGTATATTTTTTTAAAGTTAGGCTTAAAATAAACAATAAATTTGTCTGTTCAGACATACCTAAAGACAGTCCTCAAATGCTCCAGAGATCCACAGAATATTCCATTTAAAATGCCTAATAAAAAGTTTACCATAACAGAAGGAGGCTCCCAGCTCCTAGCAATGACTCCCAAGGTTTCCAAAGAAGATATGAAACAATGCAATGACTCTACACGCACTGAACATTGGGCAAAGGTACCCCAATGTAACACCTGCTACCAGGAGCCGGCCCAGACTATGGACAAGCAGGACACTAGAAAATTGATTGTCCCCTTTGCCTAGACAAAGTAAGATCAGTCTTCCCTGTGTTCCTCCTTCACAGGAGAATCTTTCACCTATGGGCCTGGCAGCTAAAGACTGATACTGTCCTGATGTATCCAATGCTATGGAGACATTGGGAGACTGGAATGGTTGTCTGCTGTGTGGGTTTGAACTCATCTGTCATTCTTAGAAGATGTGAAAGCTGCTTGCTCTGCATTCTTGGATCTTTGAGGAAACGGACTTCGGCTTTGAGAGAAGCAGGAAGCCAATTCCTTTTGGGAAGCTTCAGTTGCATTTGCAGTTCTTTCTTTTGTTAATTTTTCTTAATTTTAAAAACAGTTTTAGCTTTAAAACAGTTCCCTCTCCCTCCTGTCTTCCCATTCTCCTCACCATCTCCCTATCCTACCCCACCCCCATCCACTCCAGAGAGATGAGACCTCCCATGGGGGGAATCATCAAAGTTTGTCACATCATTTGGGGCATGACCAAGGCTCTCCTCACTGTATTTAGGCTGAGCAAGGTATCCATCCATAGGGAATGGGCTCTAAAAAGCCAGATCATGCACTAGGGATAAATACTGGTTCCACTGTCAGAGGTCCCATAGACTGTCCAAACTATACAACTGACACCCACATTCAGGGGCCTTAGTTTGGTATTATGCAGGTCCCCCAATTGTCAGTCTGGAGTCCATGAGCTCCCACTTGCTCAGGTCAGCTGTTACTATGGATTTCCCGAACATGGTCTTGACCCCTTTGCTCATCACTCCTGCCCCTTTACCACTGGAATCTAGTAGTTTGGCCTAGTGCTTAGCTGGGAATCTCTGCTTCTACTTCCATCAGCTATGGGATGAAGGCTCTATGATGGTATTTAAGGTAGTAATCAGTCTCATTATAGGGTAAGGGCATTTAAGGTACCTGCTCTGCTATTGCTTAGATTCTTAGTTGAGGTCATCCTTGTGGATTCCTAGGAATTTTCCTAGTGCCAGGTTCTCAGTTCTTTTTTTAAGTGGCGAACAGGCCTCACTTCCCTAAAGCTACTACTGGGTCTGAAAAGAGTTTATTTCAATACCAGATTTCAGATGCAACCTCCTACTAAAGGGACATAATTTAAAATGATTGTTCTCAGTAATAACTGCTTATGTCTCTGATAAATTATTAGATGAAAAAATACATAAAAACTTTTAAGATACAAAAGTTTAAATAAGTCATATACGTTTGAGTAAATGATTTATGGGTCCGAGAAAGTAATTTAAAACGTAATGTAGCATTTATGTAAGGTCTGAGGATACAATAGTCTGTGACTAAGATATAAAAAGGTCTAAGATTATATATATATGTGTGTGTGTGTGTGTGTGTGTGTGTGTGTGTGTGTGTGTGTGTATAACAATCAGGATATAAAACTTTAAATAAATTCTGAGGGTCTCAGAAAATGATTTAAGATATAAATATGATTGACATGTGAAACAAACTCGTTTCTAACTTAAATTAAAAAAAAGAAGAGAAAAAATATATAAATGCAAGTTACAAAGGTAAAAATAGAATATTTAAAATATAAAAAGTGTTTCAGATTTCTTTCTCCTACTATGATGTTGTATATTAAGGTTTCAAAGTTCAAAGTTTAATATTACTATAGTTCTGATAAGCTAATAATGACTATTGTTTCAATCACAAGCTCAAGATTTTAGTTTTCTTTTGGTTGTCCTCTAAATATACCTGACTCTCTGAACAACAGAAAAATATATATGCTTCTAATTCAAAACTATAGCTTTTGCCAATATTCAAAGATTCATATAGGCTTCAGAGAATTGAGAGTCATACAACTTGAATCCACTTCTCACAAGTCAAAGGGACTCCAGGTAAGTACAGCTTTAGTTTCCTTACCTGTCTATTCCTGAGAATTGTATATCTCTCTCCTGGTCTTGGGACTCCTCCTCTCCCTCGATTACTAAGACTGTGGATCAAAAAGTTAAATCTTGACTTCTTTCTCTAGTCTATGTCTGTCTCAACAGATTTTCACTTGGCTGACAGACACATTCAAACATCGGCTGATGGCTACAACCTATTCTAAATGTCTACGGGTCTTGGACTTGCTGAGAGCTGATGTCCAGCCAATGTGATTGCTCCTTGTCTCTAGAGCTGGGTCAGAAAATCATATGCTTCTGATGAATGCCCCATTGTCCAGTCTTTAACTGGTTTTTCAGCCTTCCTGGGTCCTGACAACAATACCACAGTGTCACCTTGAAGTGGTTGCAGTACAGAGAGAATATGTTGTCCCCTATACCCTGGCCTTTATAGGCTGAAACGCTGAGTCAAGGGAAAGCTCTCTATATCCTAGGCTTGACCCCATTTGAGATCATGTATGTCAGGCCACCACCCATTCTGCCTAACCTGAGGGCAGAACTACTAACTGAATTTGATAACCAAAGATTTCCCTCCTTTCTACAAGTTCTTCTCATGTGCGGAAACAACTTTAGCCTCGCCCATGTACAGTCTATAAGAGAGGACTGCCTCCAATGCCCCATGGGTTCCTGCCAGGAGATCTAATGATCATCAAGACACACACACACACACACACACACACACACACACACACACACACACACAAGACCTTGGAGCCTGTTGGAAGGAACCTTACATTGTCATCCTGACAATGCCCATGGCTATCAAAGTGGACAGGGTCCTCACTTGGATTGACCGTTCCCACACATGAAGCCCATGGACTATGCCCCAAAGGGAGTCGACCTTGGATTTTAAAGAGCCATTGTGTCAGAAAGGGAGAACTGATGGGCAATGGAGCTAAGACCCTGCTGGTTTAACCCACAGAAACAGTTGACCTTAACAAGGGGAACTCTTGAACCCCAGATTGATGGCTGTGTGGAAAGCATAGGACTGACCCAGACCCCCTGAATGTGGGTGTCAATGAGGTAACCTAGGTAATCTATGGGGCCTTGGATAGTATTTATCCCTGGCATAAAAAAAGACTTTGAGTGCCCATCCCACAATAAGGGATGCCC